GTGGGTATTTGGGGTATTTGGGTGGGTATTTGGGGGGTTTATGTGGGTATTTGAGTGGGTATTTGGGGTATTTGGGTGGGTATTTGGGATATTTTGGGTGGGTATTTGAGCAGTTTGGGTGGATATTTTAGATATTTGGGTGGGTACTTGGAGGGTTTGTGTGGATATTTGGGAATATTTGGGTGGGTATTTGGGGGGTTTATGTGGGTATTTGGGATATTTGGGCAGGTTTCAGAGGGTTTTGAGTGGGTATTTGGGATATTTGGGTGGGTATTTGAGGGGTTTGTGTGGATATTTGGGATATTTGAGTGGGAATTTGAGGGGTTTGGGTGGATATTTGGGATATTTGAGTGGGAATTTGGGGGGTTTGTGTGGATATTTGGGTGGGCATTTGGGGGATTTGTGTGGATGTTTGGAAATATTTGGGTGGATATTTGGGGGGGTTTATGTTGATATTTGGGATATTTGGGTGGGTATTTGAGGGGTTTGGGTGGATATTTGGATGATAATTCGAGGGGTTTATGTGGTTATTTGGGATATTTGGGTGGGTATTTTGGATATTTGAATGGGTATTTTGGGGGTTTATGTGGATATTTGGGATATTTAGGCAGGTGTTTGAGGGTTTTGTGTGGATATTTGGGATATTTGAATGGATATTTGAGAGGTTTATGTTGATATTTGGGATATTTGGGTGGGTATTTGGGATATTTGAGTGGGTATTTGAGAGTTTTGAGTGAATATTTGGGATATTTGGGTGGGTATTTGGGTGGGTATTTGAGGGGTTTGGGTGGATATTTGGGATATTTTGGTGGATATTAATGATATTTGGGTTTTATTTGATGGGTTTGTGTGGATATTTGGGATATTTTGGTGGGAATTCGAGGGGTTTGGGTGGATATTTGGGATATTTGGGGGGTTTATGTGGATATTTGGGATATTTAGGTGGGAATTTGATGGGTTTATGTGGGTATTTGTGATATTTGGGTGGGTATTTCAGGGGTTTATGTGGATATTTGAGATATTTGGGTGGATATTTGGGATATTTTGGTGGGAATTCGAGGGGTTTGTGTGCATATTTTGGATATTTGGGTGGGTATTTTGGATATTTGAGTGACGGCTCCTTAGCCAATCCCAAAGTGCCAAAGACAAACAGCAGGGCAATATCAGATTAATCACTGCAAATGCACCTTTATTAGGAGCAATAAATGCAATAGCGGGGCCAGAAAAAATAAAATAAAAATAAAATATAAAATAAAATTAAAAATAAATAAAAA